CTGCTCTCCTTGGAGCATCCACTGCAGGAGTGAGGAAAGCTGTTAATGGCGGGAGAAGGAGAGACCAGCAGCTGTGTCTCTTCCTCACCTAGGTCGGATATAAATAAAAATTTTAAACATAGCTTTTTTTCCCCAATTATGTTTTCTAATGGTTAATTTGCTAAGGTTGCAGGTATGAGCCTTCAACTAATAAAAGGTTAAAAATAGTAACGTCCATATATATGGAAAAGCATCAGTAATTACAAAGACATGGTGTGAAAGCACTTCAAACTACAAACTGATCAATGAGTGGTCGCTGCAGTGCAGAATCTGTGGCAGGGAGTGATGTAAAAAGGTTTTTCGCCAGGCAAAAACAAACAAAAAATACCCTCTCCACTCAATTCAGTCATGTCATGTACCCCAGCTTCTGGTTTCTCGCTCAAGCTTTGTGGCGCTCGATCATTGAACTAATCATTGTCTAAAAACAAAAGAGTAAAACTCTGTAGATGAACGTATGACCACACAGCAACACTTCAATTCTCATTCATTTCTATGGGATTTTTGCCATAGCCTTCTATTCCCCTGTTTTTTCTATGGCGGGCCCCAAAGATTGATTTGGACAGATACTAAAGAACATCATGTTTGTGATACGTTAAAAACAGGAGATGCAAAGGAATCACCAGAATCAACAAAGAAAATGGCTTCAGACATTTCTAACTGCCCCCCTTAAGGGAGGCAATCAAAAGGGAAATACAAGTATAATGGCAAACAATTGCACACAGCAAATTATTCTTTATATCTCTCACCTTTGTACATTTATTTAAATGTGACCAACATAGTAACATCAGAGGGGACATGAGAAAGGCAGCTGCAGCTTGGATCAGGAATCTTTGCACGCCAAGGCTTGCCTTTCATAGCCTGCACTATTAAACCGACTGTACACAAGCAGGCTGTTTTCACATGTTTTATTCCATAAATCATCTACTCTTTATAATAAGCAACCTCCGTGTTCCAGGAAGCAGCTTCCATGCTTCTATTATTCAAGTCAAAGTGCGAAAGTTCACAGTTAAACATACGGCCGGTGAGACAATAGAGGTTTACATCAGAGCCCAGTTGGTCCAGATCTAAACCCATTTCTTCATAGATGCCATCCATCCAATCTGACTGGTTTTCTGTCTTGTGTCCAGATAAAACAGCAGCAAAATGTGGTTCCACCACAATACTGAGTCTAATGCTACATTCAGACCGCAAGCAGCAAGAGCATCAAAAACGTGCATGCTCCTTCATTTTTGATGCTTGTATAAGTTAAGTTCTGACGCGCGGCTGAAGCATCTTTGCTGCTTCAGCTGTGCAATAGAAAGTGGGTCTGATGTGCACTGGGTGGAGCTACACTATCCTTTTTTTGCTTGTAACAATGGCAGCTATATATGCTGTGATCAGTGGGTAAAAAGCAGTTTTAATATGTTTTTCAGTGAGAAAATCTACCTGAAAACTTAATCAGTGCAGTCAGTTCATCCAGATTACCATCCTGCCTTCAAATATTATTTCTGTTTCAGAGTCGCTCAGACCCCCATCAGTAGGAATCCCATTCGAGAGCAGCCTATGGCCCAGTCGTCTCTTCGCAGTTTGCCGCGGCGGCTGGAAGGCGGTTTTCATTTACGTAATCCAAACTGCAGGCACCAGAATAATAAAAGCTAACATGTTTTGCCGGCAGATTTCAGCATTTTAAGTTAATTTAGCCATTAATAATCTGTTTCAGAGGAGTGATCATAGTGATCTGTATCATCAGCAATGCGTCTGTGTCCCTGCCAGCTCCCAGATCAGCTTCTCTGATTGGTTGATGTGGCGCGTCGAGCAGCAAAAGTTAAATTTTTCCAACTCCAGCAGCTTCTGCACAGACGCGCTGCGGGACGTTTAGCTGCGCCTTGATGCACGTCAACCATTGACTTTGCATGTAAACTAGCCGCTCCCGCTGCCTTTGGTGCTTTAGGTGTAAACGTAGCATTACAATGCTGGAAGCAAAGCATTACCTACTTTACTCTTTACAGACATGCACTACTTTTGG